CCGAGTTTCGGGGCTATCATGCGTTTTTCCATAGCGGTACGGAAGACATTGACGCGGTGGGTCGCCCTTACACTAGAGGAGGCCTTGCCACTTTCGTGAGGCATGGCTTGCCTTCGCGTAGGGTTGCTGGAGTCACCAGTTTAGGCGACTACGAGGCGCTGCAGGTCAGAATCGGCCAGACCTTGACTCTGAACGTGCACAGAAAGCCAGACGGGGATCAGACTGTCTTTCAGGATTTTCTCCGTAGTGTGCGTGATCAAGAACCGCAGCTGCTGATCGGCGGTGACTTCAATTTAGATGTGCGTCACATGTGGTGCCCAGGTTTGCAGAAAGGGTACGTGGCTGACGGTGATGAGCAGCCCCAACCTTCTAGAGTCGGCGGGCGTAGGTGCATCGATTTCTTTCTGAGCCAGAGGGTAGTGGTCACAGATGTCTCTTATCGCATTGAAACGTTTGGAGATCATCTCATGCTGCAGGGATGGGCTGCCGTAGGCTGCGATCAGAGAGAGTCTCTCTGGCAATTTGCTCCCACAACCCAATACCTTCCGCCAGAGGGCGTGGATGATAGAACTTGGTCTCAAGCCCAGCAAACGTGTTGGGGCTCTGTCGTGCCCCCCGCCGACGCCGGAGACACAGAGGCAGAATGGACCTGGTTTACATCCCAGGCCGAAGACGTTATGCGGCGTGCTACGCGACTGCTGGGAGCGGCCCCGCGTGATCCACCCCAGCGTCGCGCAAAGGGCAGTGACCCCAAGTGCATTAAGGTGCCTAGGGGCTGCCAATCTGAGCGAAAGTCATTTTGTCTCAGCCGTCTCATGAAGGTGCAGGGCAGGTTACGTGAGTGCCAACGCCAGTCTGCACAAGGCCGAGATGTCAGGCCCATATGGCACAACGTAAGGCGCTCATGGCCTGCTTCCCTGCCGCCACTCTCTGAGACAACCTCGGTTGAGGAGGCTCTCTGTTGGGTCGCCGATGTCATTGAGGAGCGGCAGCGCCAAGATCAGCTTGAGGGCGTGCATAAATGGCAGCGCATGCTGGCCCAGAGAGGGCGCGCCGCTACGGCATGGCTCCGGGGTAGCAGTAGGCAACTGACCGTGGTCTTGCCTCACGAGGCTGAGCAAGAGCACAGTGCTGGGCCGCTCACTGTCAACGATAGCATCTCCAATTTGCGTAGATTTTGGCGCCAAATTTGGGGTAGGCCGTTGTGTGATAGGGCCCAAGCTGTCCGTAAGTGGAGGCAAAACGGGAGCAATGCAAGCTTCACCGGCCCCGGGTCTCGATGGATGGACGGGCTCGGAAGTAGCCTCTTGGCCTCCAGCTGCCTGGCAACACTTCAGCAAACTAGTTTCCCGATGGGTTCGCCGTGGTCGGTTTCCGCAGGCGTGGTGTCAAGTACGACAGACACACCTCCCTAAAGAAGCGCCAGAAGACTTGTCGGGGTCACTCCGAGCTGATGAGCTCAGACCGATTGTTATTTTGCCCGTGCTGTGGAGAGTAGTCTCATCGTGCATTGCATGTCATGCGAACACCGTTGCATGGTTGGATAAGGTCCTTGATCCGTGCCAATTTGGAGGGGTGAAGTCGCGACACCTTTTTCAGGGCTTGGGCCGGGTTTGCCACCGCTTCGAAGAAGGAGATGTGCTAGCCTCTTTAGACTACCGCAAATGTTTCGATTTCGTCCACCCGGACGTTGTCTGCGATATTCTGCAAGAGGCCGGGCTGCCAGCTGCAATAGTTAAGGTTCTTCGGTTTATGTGGGTTCAACGTAGATTCTTGGAACTAAGTGGCTATTGTTCACCGGAAGGCGAACACATTGCCAGTTCGATGCCACAGGGGGATGGGATGAGCCCGCTTGCCCTGAACGTTCTGCTGAGCGCCGCCTGCAGAGCCATTCGGCAGGACCAGGCAGGCCCTTCCAGCAGCAGCGTCTTCCTGGATGATCGAGTCTTCACGGCACGCGCTAACGAGGTAGCCGGCATCCTAGCACAATGGGCTGAGTGGAGTGCGGCATTCGGTCTGCAAGAGAACACTAGGAAACAGGCTCTGGTCTGCAGAGACCCTGTGGCGCGACGCTTTCTTTGCGCCCAAGGCCAAGGTCAGTGGTTACAGGAGTCTGTGCGGGTGCTGGGAGCCGATTTTACGGCCAGAAGGGACAACTACCATGCTGTCGCTGAGGAGCGGGTGCAGTCGACGATACCGCGAGGCAACAAGCTTCTTACTCGAGGCATCCCTGTCGATGTACGGCGGGATCTGTGGAGGTCGCGCATAGTTCCACGCGCATCTTGGGGGCATCTTTTTGGCGCACCCAATGAGTCACAGTTAAAAACGCTGACTGGTCTCTACAAGTGAATCGTTTACAGCCACCGCATGGGCAGCGTGAAGCTGCGAACCATCCTTGAAGGCCACTTTATGGATGCAGGCTTCATGGCAGGACTCAACTGCATCCGTGCTCTGAGGGCCTCTGGATGGAGAATGATGACTCAGGACGTGAGCCAGCCAACCTGGCCCATGATCCTCCGAATGTTGCTGAGAATGCGTCCAAGAAGGCCAGAATTGATCCAGATGCACCCGCGTGAGCCCGCAAACAAGCAAATGAGGATTTCAGCAGTTCACCATGCGATTGCTGGAGTGATACCTGCTTGTAAATGGGTGGCGTCGATTGTTGGAGGAGAAGAGGTTGTTGGCAAAGATGGTTCCAAGATTGATGTCGAAGTGAATGCAGAGGAAGGAGAAATGGAACAGGAAATGAGATTAGCAGAGCCACTGCTCTGGGAAAGTGAGTTCCCTCCAGAAGCTGAGAAGAAAGGAATGATGAAGGAATGAATTCAATGAAGGAGTTTGACGATGAAGTGCTCGTCAAAGACTGC